TGAATCCGGACATTATAGGTCATTCTAAAAAGTCAACAAAAACACCTTTTGGGTCAAAGCTTCTTACATGAACATGGAAGATCCAATGGAGATGAAACCAAAAAGGTTATTTAGGGGATATCCTAAGATTTATAAAAAGGCTAATAACACCCTCTTAGGGTCAAAATTGAAGGATATATGCATTGTCAGAGTTAGCCTTTTTTTGGAGAATTGTCAAAAGTCAACAATGCCCAAAATTGCATCTTTTGTCAAATGGGCCCAACTTTTTATGCTTTCATCTCACTTCTAATATGGTCCACAACCCAAAAACCCTTACACATGTTATTGGATTTATTTTTTAATTTATTTTTTATTTTAATCATTTAAAAATCAAATTAAGTCAAATAAATAATCAAAATAATAAAAGAGTTTATTGCAAATCTTTTTCTCATCAATTGACAATCAACAAAAGCTGGTAAATTAAGGCCCATTCGTGGAGAGAGAGTGAGAGTGGATTTGTTCCCAAAATAGACAAAATCAAATAAATGAATTCAAATATTTTCTCACTAAAAGCATGGATATTCTTCCTATTTTGTTACCCTAATTTGATTTTCAACATATACACATTAACCCTAAGTCAAACACACACACAACCTGACTCACTCAAACCCTAAAGGTGTTAAAATTTTCTCAAAAAAGGTGCAAGCATATACCACATGATCCAAGCTATTTTCGTCCAACCTAAGCCCTCTATCATACTCCTGAAGGTGCCAGGAATCTATCCCTGACAATCTCCAGGCTTACAACCCTCTCAAACACTCAGGCCAAGCATCTTTGGTTTGTGGTAGGTTGGGATCCAAAACTTTGCAAAAACACAATATAAATTAGATTTCATTACATATTCATGCTCATATAATTGTTTTGATCCATTTTAACTTGAAGCATGAGAATATGGATGAAGATTTAAGAGGTTGCCATTGTTAGGGATTTGAAACAGCCATGGCACAAATAAGATGATACAAGTACCTTCAGGCGAAACTAAGGCCATATTTGGATTCCTGGGAAAATTTCAAGGGGGAATAGGGTCTTTTTGTGCCTCTTAATCCTTGTGTTTTGCAGGTTCAAACGTTAGGGTTGGTTGGAGAAGACGACCGGAGCACAGCTCCAACATCGTTAAACCCAACTGACTCAGGCGTACGCGTGCGTGAAAATTCCTCATGCTATGATTGGTTCGCTTCAAATACCAGGGCCCACAGTGCTTGCGTGTTTTGACAACTCAGCATTCACTTTTGTTTCATATTATATTGTTATGTTTTGTTTATATTCACAAATTGATAATCAGCGCAGATAGCAAAGGAATGGATATGTGAAATCAAAGACCTGGGTTCGATCCCAGGCATGCAATTTTGTTATTTTCTTAACCTTCTACGCAGGATTCAGTGCATCTCATGCTTATAGGTCAACCATACGCCCTCAGATCTCACCCTTGTGATCTGTCTCCAGTCAAGTCCAAGGTCCCACGCTGGCAAGGTCTATGGTGCACCCTCAAAAGATGGTCTCATTGGATCAGACGCCAGACTCTGGGCCATCATTCTGGGCCCGTTACAAATTTGGCAAAGCACCCCATGGAATGCTAACTGCATCAGGCCCATTTATTTTTCTTTCTATTCTTTTTTATTTGTTTTTAATTGGTTATTTTATTTATTTTCACAAAAAGATCATTTTTTTATTAAATCATAAAAATCAAAAGATCACATAAAATATTAGGTTTAGTTTTTTTGTAAAATATTTGTTTGCATTGGTTAATTAGGTTAACTTAAATACTTTTTTTTGTAATTAAAATTTAATAGAAAGTTAGGTTAACTTAAATATTTTTTTATAATTAAAATTAAATAGAAATTAGGATAATTTGCAAGATTAATTTCTTTTCTCAAAAAAATCCAAAAAAAATCTTTTCCTCATTCCTGTCTTAATTCTTCGCGCGCGTTTTTATTTATTTTCAGATTATTGTATCTGCTTTGGGTTTGTAATTGATTAATTAGAATTTTAAATTTCTGCATCTTTATTTTTCAATCAAATATTTGTGTATCTATCCAAAAGCCCTGTAACAGCGTAGATTTTTCTTTTCTGCTTTTAATTTCCGCAATTATTAACCGCCTAGATGTATGAATAATAGGATTGAATGGCAATACAAATAGCTTTAAACAACGGTAGATAACCCTAATTGTGCAAAGATAATTAACTGAAAAAACACACTTGCACATGCTCACTCCTAGGGTTTGCCCCATTTGGTTTCCTCATAAATAATGGTCGTGTCCCTCGAACATAGGGATACCTTAGCAATGACCTACGATTCAAAGTCGTCATAAAGATCATAGTCCCTACTTATCCCTCGAGTTGCCTACGAATTGAACTTATGACAATAGTCCCTTCGTCATGCTAAGGTATCCTAACTTGTTGCCTTCAGAGACCATTTCGTCCCTTCGAACGTCCCTTTAAAATTCCAACGATAGGGCTATCTACTCCTTAATAGTAGGATAGAATTGTATAAAGGAAAATAAAATGAACAGACTTTTTTCGAGTAGGTAGAAAACTCTTAAGTACTTGCTCAAAACAAAAACTTTTTTCACCAACACTTTCAAAACAGTTTTCAAAAACAACTTCGTCATACTCTTGAGGACATATACAAGGGATATCACGAAGTTAAACAAAAACTTTTCAAAACACACACAAGCAATTTCAAAATGAGCAAGTACCTAAGAGCCCGTGGAAAACCACGGATAGAAAGGGTGCTAACACCTTCCCTTTCTATAATCTACCCCACCGTACTCAGAAACATCTCGAAAAAGGTTTTTTCTGTTCTTTTTCCTTTTCCTTAGATGGATGAAATAAAAGTCAGTGGCGACTCTTGCTTACTGTAACATTTGCGAATACAAAACGCAAACCAGTATAACAGTCGGTTCTGCCACCGTATCACAATGATGCACCATGAGCTTGCTCATGTGGAGCGCTAGATTTGATGGCTGGAAGATCTGATGGTGATGGTGAGAGGCGCATGATGTGCGCATTGGAACGGCCTACACATGATCTTATAGAAACAAAATTATGGAAATTAAAGGGTACCATTGGGACTCGAACCCAGGTCCCTATAGGAAAATGGCTTAGCGCACTCTTCTTTACCACTAGGGTGGCTATTAAATTCGGTGGTAAAACAAGTTGCAATAAATTTAAAATAGACTTAGTTCTGAATATTTGAAATAACTTCATCTTCTTCCTTTCCCGCGCCAAGAACAACAACTCCATTGCTAAATCTGTAACTTCTTCACTTCTCAACCATTTTCAAAAATCTAACATGAAAGTTGCTTGATTTTTCATCATGAATTCAACCATGTAAATAACTAAAGCTATAAATCAAAGATGAGCATGAATTTATGTTGGTACCTGTTGTACCCCAATTTTTGACCTAAGATCCCATTTTTATTTTTTGCATTTTTTAAGATAAGTCAAGGTCACAAAATGCGGTCGGTTTTAACGTCTCACCTTCGAGCTTTGACTATGCGAAGATTGTCAAGTGTTTTGAAAATTTTTAGACTATGTATCACTAATTTCTAATCGCATACAAAGGTATATGTTCATGTTTTCTTTTGTGTCATGTGCAGAGACGGGTCTGGATCAAGAGCATCAGGTGTCGCGCCTCAATTAAGGTTTTGAGTCTCCCAAGCCAGAAGTACAGTTGATTGTGGATTCTCGAATGCTGATTCATCAAGGCACACCGTTGCACCCTTAATTTCGCCCCTAATATGTTTTAGTCGCACTTTCATATCATATTTTGTTATTTGGTCAGGATCATTAGTAAATATCTTCATTCATCACATTTTGCATCATTAGTCGTATTTAAGTTGATCAGAAAAAGTCAATTTAAATCAAAGATTGCATCGTCTTTTAATTAAAAAAATACTTGGCATTTTGCTTCATGCATTTTTATCCATTTACTCATTTGTTGCATTGCTCCAAGTTGTTTACATGTCAATAATAAAAATATTTTGGTTTTATAGACAGACTGTTAAAAGCGATTCGACACTATGCGGGAAAGTAGCGAGAAAATATTTCAAGTTTTCACCTTTTACCGATCATTTTATGAATCTGCGCTTCGCGTAGATTATGACGGTATGCTCGCTTTATTTTTCGGTACAGTTCGAAGTCTCGTTTTTAACCTTAAACGTCTGTTTAGTCTGATATTTTATTATTATTTTATCTTTGATTTTTTTGACTTCTTGAATATTGTTTTTCTTTAATCTTCGTGACATGTAGTTTATTTTAATGTGTTCATTTTATTTTATCGGATAAATTTTCGTCCGTTTTTTATCGTTTTCGGTCATTTTGTGTCTTTAATTTTAATTCAGAAAAAATTCAAAAAAAACTATTTTAAATTGAGTTATATTTTATACTTTCAGGTTTTATTTTATTTTTGTCATTCAGGGGCGTTTTTGTCACAAAAATATATTGATTACACTATACTATGCTCTCATTGGCTGTTAGCAAAAGTGGTGGATCGATACCAAAAAAAACAAATAAAGCAGATGGAGTGATCTTTCTCTCTTAGAATTTTTTCTATCCTTCTCTTCCTAACAACACAAAAAGCAAAAAGTAAGCTTACAGTATTTGATATATATCTTTTCCTCTTAACCCCTCTCCTTCAATTTTTTCCACGCATAGTATCTCCCTTCATTACTCCAACTCTTCACCCAGCCATCTGATTCCTCTTCATAAAAGACCCACACTACCATCCATTCAACTACTGTCACTTCCCACAAACCCAATCTTCATCAAACCTCCCTTCAAACTCCTTCTCACATTCTCAGCAACACACTATACCCCCTTCATCTCGCCTTGCAAGCTTCAACACCAACGAACTTATCATCATCACCACCATCAAACAACTTCTGTTCACTATCATCCTCGCTGTAAACATCCATTCTTCTTCATAATCAATCTCCCTACATTGCTTTCCTCTTCATCAAATGCAATCTCAGCAACTACTCTCTGCCAGTTACCGATTTCCACAACTATCTCCATCTCATCTCTTCACACACTACCCTTCACATCACCGTAGCCTCTTACCGTCGCGAACTGCCTCACAACCTTCACACTCTAACCCCATCGCTTTCTCCATACCACCTCCCTCTCTCTGCGAAATAGTAACACCAAACCCATATTCACCACCAACACTTTACCTCGAACACCTGATTCATCACCCAATGGAGGAACTATTAAGCTTTCATCCAAAGCCAGACGAAAAGCTGCTCAAGAATCACCCGAAGGAATTTTACACGAAAAAGCTCAGCCATTGCTCTAAATCCGGTGATGTTCTTCAAGCACTTTCTCTATACGACGAATCTCGTAAATCAGGTGTTCTCCTCGATCTCAACCATTACAATAAATTATTATACCTTTGTACTGTTCAATCTGGTGGTCATGGTGCTTCAAGTGCTTCTCATTTGGGTCTTCAAAGAGAGTTTGAGATTTTTCAGCAAATGTTGAATGATAACATTCAACCGAATGAAGCTACTTCCACTAATGCTGCTAGGGTTGCTGCTGCCAAGGAAGATCCTGAAATGGCTTTTGAGTTGTTGAAACAAATGAAGAGTGTTGACATTGCACCTAAGTTGAGATCTTACGGTCCTGCTCTTTATGGGTTTTGTAAAAGATGGGATGCTGATACAATGAACTTTGCGGATATAGAAAAACAGATCAACACTTTTGCAAAGAAAGCCAATGCTGGAACTTTATCTATTGATGAAACGGCTGGAGGTACTCTAACAATATCAAATGGTGGTGTTTATGGCAGCTTTTTAAGTACCCCTATTAGCAACCATACCTCCGTCTCTACAGCTCACAGTACTCCCTTTTATTACACTTTTTACTATTCTATTTATCATTATAACTTTCAATTTTTATTTAATGTTATTATTTTAAATCTTCATTTCTTTATAATTAAGTATTGTTATGATGTTAAAAAAATAATCAATTGGACCTAATCTCATTTTTTTCTCCAAAGTCCATTGGTTAATTTCTATATATAATCCATATCCTACTCTTACACCACCTTATGCTTATTTGCACTTCCTTTATTTCTTTCTTTTAATTTTTGTAATTTATGTAAATATACAATTGTATATAATACTTTTGATTTTATATTTTTCATTTGTAAATAAATTTAGGTTATGTAAATATTATTGTCATCGCGTTACGATTTTTATTTTAATTCAAACTAACTTCTGAAAATCGCACGGACGCATAAGTTTTCCCGTGCTGTGTGTTTTGTCTGTATATTTCATGTGATGCAGGGAATCTTATACCGTGAGCTTTATCCATCGCCTTTGCGCTTTATCTGATGCTTGGAGTATTATCTCACATTAGGCTTTTTTGATGATGTTGTCGGCTTGTGATTTATTTTCACCTAAGGTTTGATATACTCTTAGCTTATTTATCCGTCTATGGTTTTAATTCTAAGGGAACGATTAAATTTGTTGACTTCATGTCAGCAAATATATCTAATACGATCAAGCGAACACCCTCATTCATTTTTTCCTATTTACTATTTTTTTCCAAAATTAAAGTCGATTTTACTAAAAGACTCCGTTTTCAAACATACGCTCTTTTAAGTCAAAACTTCGACATTAGGTCGTCGTATCTTCAAAAATCTCGTCCATACCCATCTTTTAGCCAAACGAACCATTTTTAATCAAACAAACAATTTTAACCAAAAACAGATATTTCAAAAGGTTCCTGCGGAGTACCGCAGATGCATTGGGTGCTAATACCTTCCCATTGTATAACCAACCCCCGAACTCTCGATCTCTTTTCAAAACGCATTGTATTTTCATTACTTTTAAGTATTACTTTACATTGCATATTTTAGGGTTTTATTTCGCTCTTTTCCCTTTTCCCTTGGAAATAATAAAGCGCGGTGGCGACTCTTGCTTTTGCGAGTCAAGTTAATTAATAGCTTGATCTCCGATTTTCACCGCTACAGAATTGGCGACTCTTGCTTTTGCGAGTCAAGTTAATTAATAGTTTGATCTCCGATTTTCACTGCTACAGAATTGGCGACTCTGCTGGGGAAAGATTGACCTCTTGCTGGTCCATCCCTAAAGTGGGTTAAGCCTAATTTGCCATATTTGTTTTTGTTATTATTACTTGTTTGTTTGATTAATTGTGATATATTGTGGTTATTTGAGTTTTTGCAAAGGACAAGTCCTATACCCGGACTAAGTTACACTTAGGAATAGGACGGGCGGTATAGTCATGTTAACTTTGAGGGAGTAATCCCGAAGAAGGAGGCATGAGATCCCCCACTCAGTGGAAGGCCCTTTTGAACGTAATATTTGTTTACCGAGTAATCGGGAAGACATTATTATTTTTGACCTGGGAGCCAGAGAAGCTGGGAACCGTAGAACCCTAACCCATCTTGGCCTTTTAGGTGTAGCGCGGAGATTATAACGGAGTAATCCGGAAGTAATTGTTACGTGATGCTACGCTCGGATGAGTTTCTCTTGAGAATATTGCTGATTATTGAGTAATCAAGACATTGGTAATATCCGAAGGAGGAATGTAGACTCCGGGAACTCTTAGAACCTTGTTCTACAGGTGTGATTAAACCGTTAGTACATACCTTGGGGGTGTTCCTTACCTTGACTCCATGCTCGTAACGTTGAACCTTTCGACTTTATTTGTGACCTTGCTTGTAGTTGTTGCATAGCCATGCATTCATGCATCCATAAAACCCTTTTCACTTGACTTTGAAGGAATTTGGAGGTCTTTCTTTGTAAACATCACAAGTTTTGTCAAGCTCAATGGATCTTAGGTGTTGATAGGGCGAAAACCCTAATCCACCAAAATGGATGATTGATCTTGATGATAACTTGATCAATGTTTGGAACCAATTTAAAATTCATCTTCTATCTTCATACTTTGATGTTTACAACTTAATATCTTGAGTTCCTTGAAAATCAAATAAAAAACTCTCTTTTGCATATCATACATCATTCTACATTTTTGGTTTCACTTCCAAAGGTCTTTTTCCAAGTCTTATTTTTCCTTTGGTCTCATCAGTACAACACTCGCGCTAAGAGAACAATGGAGAATATCAAGCAAGAGGTTTCTGAACTCCGTAGAGAGATGACTATTTTGAAAGCTAGTGTGGAGCACTTAACTGGTTTGGTCGAAATTTTGGTTGCCGCCCAAGTCAATCCTTCTAGGAGGGAGGAAGCGATGATAAAAGTCTTCACTGAAACTCTAAAATCATTCTTTCATGCGAGGGTGATGGTTAATTCACCTAATGAATTTCCCGACAAGGGGAATGTGGGAGTGCGTCTAGAAGAGGATGTTGGGAAGGGATGTTCATATGAAGATGGTAGCTCAGATAATGGTGTGAAGAAGTTTGATAATAACTTTTCCAAGAAGAGAACCATAGGAAGAAATATTCATCATCAAAATCATCATGTTCCTCCTATTCATCAACAAAATCAGCAAGTTCCTAATCAGAGGAAAACCCAGTTTGATCCAATTCCAATTACCTATACAGAGTTGTTCCCTATCCTGATGCAGATGAATTTGGTCCAGACCCGACCTCCACCGAAGGTTCCTGAGAAGATACGTTGGTACTACAAAGCTGATTTGGCTTGCACTTTTCATCAAGGTGCTCCTGGGCATGACTTGGAGGGTTTCTTTGCTTTGAAGATTGAGGTTCAGAAGTTGGTCAGAAGTGGTATCTTGTCATTCAAGGACGTTGGTTTGAAGTTCAAATCAAGCATGCGCCGAAGAGTAAACACGATGGATGGTGATTTTGATTTTTGAAGGATGTTTTCGGTAATTCAAGTCCATATGGAAAGCCTTCCTAGATTATTAACTTATTCATGCTTTTTGTAATTTTTTCTTGTTCATCAAAACATTGTTTGCATGTAAGAGCTTGTTTGCATCTGAATGATTATCTTAATACAATGGGTATGTTTGTCTTGAAGAAATTCATTCGTTTCACTCATATTTGTTTTCAAGTTTTAAATTTCTTTTTGCATTATGATACCAACTTGTTGCCCATTCTCTTGCCTAGGCAGAGATTGAAGGGAGGATGATGATCTGAAAAACACAAAATCTCTGGTTGTCTGCTTTCTGAATAAAATCTTGCTGATGATGTACATGCATTGTTTCAAATCCCTAAACACTGGAGATATAAGGAAGATAATCCCTTGCTAACCCCTTTTGAGCCTTTGAAGCATAAGTTCCTTTTCTATACGAAAAAACCTTGAATTTTAACCTGGGGCAGGGTAGTTTTTAGTTAATCTGACTGAGTGTTCAAAATTCATAAGGAAGATGTTTTTTTGAAGAGAAACTACGAGGGCTATCCTTCATGTATAATGAATCTAGAGGATGTGGAACCACAATGTTATCCCTCACTCATCAAGAAACAAGGCAATCACAATCCTCTCAACAAGCAAAGACAAGATAATGCCACACATTTTGTTCAAAAAAGTCAAAAATCGAGAAAAAGAAAAAGCCTGCTAAGTCAAAACATGAAAACGTGTGACTTAGGCAAAATTAAGGCATCCCGCTGGACTATCAATTCAAAAGAATTAGTTCAGGCAAAAGTTAGGGAAAATAAAATCGCAAAGAAAAGGACTGCAAAGAAAAGTCCTCAGCAAAGAACAAATTGGTGACTACAAACATGAAGACATGAGGGTGGTTTCTACTCTGAAAGCCTCGTCGTTTCCTTGACCGTCACAAAATCCTTTTGAGAGATGAACACTCATGTTGAATTAACTGAACATAGGGTTGGAGAACATCATGAAGGGGGTGGGCACCAAATATTTTGAGCCTTAAAATCTTTTTTCTAAAAACCATGAACCAGACCACGTTACAACCTTCAAAAGTCCTAATTGAAGCGAGGTTATTTTGAAAGCATACTTCAATGAGATAGTGTTCCTGACTCCCATGAATATTCTAAATAGTTATGTTGGTATCATATGTTTTTCCTATACAAAAATAAATGGTGCTTTAACTCGCAAAATTTGTGCGATATCTTTCAAAATCTTCAAGACTTACATAACTGTTGCATTAGAATTTTCATTCTCATTGTAAACTTTTTCTAACTGCAAAACATTTGTTTGATATCAAGGAAGCTCACATAAGCACCAGTGATGAGTTTATTCTTTTAAGGCCTGAAACTATGTCGAGCAATGGGCGAATTATTTCAAGAACAAAATCATATGCAGGGGCATGTCACCTGAAGACCTTAAGCACGGACATGTTGTTTCTCCTAATTAATGCTTTCCCAACTTGTTTACTCTTTTGGGGCAAAATTTGAAGACTTTGTTGTGCCAACTACAATCAATCCGGGGCAATCACGTCGAGATTTGATGAATTCCTCTAAGAGTTTGAAGACACTAGAGCATGGTAAATGCCAGGTCTTTTGTAAAATCCTCTTGAGACGATTTCTCCTCATCAACCAGATAGCTTGGGGCATGTTAGAAGTGAAGCTATTCGCAAGAATCGTCGTGCAACATGCAGCTCATCAGCAGTAAACTTGGGGCATCCAAAATTAATCCCAGGGGCAATCCAGATTTGTCAAGATATGTTTTTCATACATTATCAGAGGGTGGTGTTCCTAGTATCTCCAGCTAAGCAAGACTTCTTTCCAGTTGAAACTTTGTTTGTGTTGTTATCCTTTCAATGGATTGTTTGTAATAGAAGACTGGACTTTGGGTTTTCTACCTGAAAATATCTTCCTCTCCAGAGATATTTAAGCCTTGTAAAAGGACCTTGCTCCAATGATGGCCTGTGTTTTATCTCCAAGTAATGTTACCATCCTGTTGAGATTAGCCGAGTGTCGAGTTGTACTGTGATGTCTTATCATTTTCTGTCCATCTCCCCTGTCTGTTTTGTCAGCATATACATGACATTCATTTATTCATTCACACTTGCATCATGCATGCACAGTTGTATTTGTTGATGTCTTTGAGTACGTATACCTTGGTTATGTCTATTCAAATAGCGTATTTGATCTTTCCAAATAGAATGTCAACTTAAGCAGAAAGTGCGCCTCCTTTCTAATTCCCCACTGAGTTAACTCTCGTGGAAGAATCTTGCTTTAGCTTTCCTTTTCCATCTCTGGATAGGATAAATCCCCATTTGAGTTGTTTCCTCATTGGGTGGAGTCTTGTTTAACTATTTTCTCTCCAGTTTATTCCTGGATTGAGCTTTGTCTCTTGTGAATGATACCCTGTGGATCTCTCTAAGCTGTGAAACCTAGATGGAGAGTGCATTTATTTTGCAACGTAAATACTTGGTCTCCTCAAGAAGGATTTA